TCCGGACAGTGATGTCAGTAGTGAGCCGATGACGACCGAAAATTTCAACGAACATCGCGAAACCGCGATTCAGGTTCCGTGTTTCCATCATGGGATCGCTATGCTCTTAAAAAGCTTTCGAAGAATTGGTCAACCAGGGAACTAGTGAACCAGAATCGAGCTTAGTCACATCTACGAGTCGTCGAGATTATCCCCTGGAAGAATGTTCCGGATAATCGGGGCGGAGACTTTGAACAAGATCTATGATTTAAACCAGTGTCTCCCAACCTTTCTTCAAACAAACGTTTCCTATATAAAAATATATCTTCTATGACTTTCGAGAAATTTGTTTGATAATCTGTGATTTAAATGGTTTCAAGATTTAAAAATTGAACCGATATACCGATTATCTCGAACGATTTTGGAAGAATCGTCTTTGATCGTTTGACAGGATTATCTCGTATCGTGGAATATAATATAGAATGTAATATTGGGTGTGTTCACGTTTGTTCTATCTTGAGGATCTCTAATTTTTTTTTTTTTTTCTTTTTATGGTAGATAGTACGACTTTGAAGAGAGATCTAATCAAAACAATATTAAATGAGTCATCATGTGACGATACTTCTCGATATATATATATATTTGCCATAATTTCTTGCACCAACGCACATAATGTTTTTATCCTTTCGCAATGACGGTCGTAAAAAGTGAATACTTTTTTTTTTTTTTTTTCTCGTAGCAGCAGAAATACATAACTACATTTCTAAACGTTCAATTACTGGCCTTCAAGATGCCCACCTACTTTTGACTCTCGCATCACGCACTGTATTTACACACGACTATCGACTATGATCTAATAACACGAGCCATCATTCGAAGAATTCGATCAATATCGTATCCAGATTAATTAGAATAAAACAATTGTCCAGTGTTGCAAGATGCATCACGTCATATGCAAATCGATACTCGCAACCGATGACAGCGAGCGTATGTACGAATACGTCCCAAGAATTTTCAACGACCGATTAATCACCATGCGCGCGTATATTGCGCGCATTCCGTCTCGATTTCATCGCGATCACGGGCCACGAGGCGAGCAAGATCGAGGCACTCGACCCAACGTGAATCAAATGGTAAACAGAGACGAGATATAAGCACTCAGTTCGCAATACAGTCTGGTATAAACGCGATCCGCCATGATTCACCGGCCTATAGGGAATAAAGTTCATCGATAGTGGTCGCGGTCCGGCTAAATAGGGATGATGCATCCTCCGATAAACATCGATGGAAATTTCTCGCGAGGAGAATCGTGAATTCTTTGGATCTCGATTTTCCTAAGAACAAGTGGAATAGATTTCGAGAATCCTTTTGTAATGGAACGTATCACAAGTCGATGAATATTTTTTTCTTTAAAAAGAAAAGTGCTTTATTTTTAACGTTTTTTTTTAAAAAAAAATATGCGATTTAATTTTGCAGAAAGGAAATAATACTTGATCGGTTTAAGTTCTTTGTTGCCAAAAGCAGGAAAGGTGAGCTAGGTTAAGTTTAAGATTTAGAGAGGTTAGCTTGAATTCTATACCTGGCATGTATACACAATGAGAGTGTTTATTGTTCTAAATTTCTTTATTCGAAAGAACGAATATTTTTCCCTTTTTGCTTGTGAATAAATATATAATAATAATAATATTAAAAGTGTATTGAAAATAGTGTGGGATATAATGAATCAGCGAAGAGTCATTATTTACCGAGATAACATAATCTTTATATTCTCGTCATGCAATATATCCATTAAATTAGCTCAAATAAATCAAGATATTCTTTTCTAAATTGATGAATGCATATCAAAATAATGAACCCAAGGATTCAGAATCTCGAAGATACAAAAATCAGGATAGCAAAAGATTCGAAACTCTTTTATCAAAATTGGATTAACGAGAAGGCCTCGAGCACAAGGCGTAGAAGTGTAGAACCCGCTATCGAGACGCAAAAGTTGATATCGATGCGGTTAGGTATGAGTCACACGGCCAGTGCGCCTAGGCACTTCTCAAACGACCCTGAATTACGTCGACGATCCACGCGCTCTTTTGTTTACCGGCTTTCAAGCTTAGTTAACATCTTTGTGATTCAGATGGGAATTTATGAGATTCGAGTATATCACACGCGATTCCCGGAAACGCTATTGCTTATGCGCCGTTTCGTAAAAAAGAAAAAAAAAAAGAAAAAAGAAAAAACTTCTGACACGAGTCCAAGATGACACCACGTTGCATAAAATGCTAATCGAGATAAGACGTAAACATGTTTATTGTACGTCGCCTCTTTAGGAATTAGTATGTTTCACTCGTTATTTTTTGAAGATGGTTGATACAGTGGTTAGATGTCGCTATTTTAAGACATATTAAAAATAATAAAAATGTGATAATTTTCTTTCTTTGTTTCTTCCTTTCAATTGTTAAATCTCTTGTGAAATTTTTAAATTAATCGAATAACAACAATAATTATATTATATCAAAATCGTAATCTTTATTATCGTTTCGTTAAACTTTTATAAAAATTATCCTACTCGATTTTAAATGTTATCTGGATATCATTTTCATAAACGTGTTTTACAACGCACATGATACTAACCTCAAAATTTAAGTCCAATATACATATTCGTATCCCTGATAACGTCACATTTTACTGAAATACAACTGCAACTTTTCCGAGATTACGAAATAAAGTAGCACATAGATCTTCAAGAATACACTAATTGCTTTCGCAAATTTTATCTTTAACGTTTTGCGTCACGAGAAGATTCACGTGTTCGTTCGTTCGTTCGTTTGTTTGTTTGTTTGTTGCATCGTACGTAAAAAGAGAATGTCGTCAATCTTCTAAGAGGTAAGAAAAGTGCGTCAGAGAGCGGATCTCTAGTCGTTCGCGGTTTAGTTAATAATTCTCCTAGGTGATTTGTT